TAATTTTATTTCAATAATTCGCTTGCGCATAGGGGTCTTTAGCAGTGGGAGGAAACCGGAGGACCCGGAGAAAACCCACGAGGTTGGACAGGCAACCCTACTCCTTGTCACGTACAACCGGGGATTCGAAACCACGACCTTGAACAAAGAATTTATGTCAAACGCAGATTGTTAAAGATGCATTATGTAAGAGTTGAATCTGCATATTGAAGATATTTATTTTGTCTTTAAATCTTATCTAAACTATTAATTTGACATTTTTTCAGATGTCAAGCCAATAATCAACCCTTCAGAGTTTAGACCATCGAATGGTCATGATTTTTCATGGATTGAAGCACGATCGTCATTTAATAATTCAATTTAAAAACGGATAATCAAGACTTTGTTTATTATTGTAACAATTGTAGCATAGAAAATAGAGACAATGCTATTCGTATCAAAACTTCGAATATTCATAACTTCACACAAAATCAAGTAATTGGATTGAAAATTTCAATATATTCCCATTTCATTATCTCTCTTTAAACTATTATAGCGCGAACTGTCAGCTCTTTATCTAAATCTTACATAATGCATCTTTCAGACACAAATTCTTTATATCTATTGTATTACCAAGTGAGATTTGAATCTTTTGGCGGGTATCAATTTACAGTGTACTTAAAGGCTTCATCCTCACGGATTAATGCACACTAAATATGTACCAATGTCAGATAATGTCCCGGCTTGAATTCAATTGACTTTAAATTTGGCCCTTACGTTTCTCCGCTACCAATAAAAGCTGGTGGCGTCATGTCACGCTCGAGGAACATAGATCAATAAAATTTTAATTTATCATAAATTTGTAAATGGTAAACGGAATTAAATCATTTTTGGACTGATAGTTTATTTTCACAATGTTACTGTAAGGGATTACTATATATAGCGTTAATAATGCATCAAGCCTTTAAAGTTTATAGTTTTTAAAAAAGTTTTAACGAAATTATAACCAACAACAAAACATCCTTCAAAGTTCGCCGTCAAATTCATTCCTTAGAAGAAGGCTTATTCAAGATCAATGCCAAATTAGGTAATACAAGGTTCTGTGAATCAAAGGAGTCTAATTAACTCTTTTGTCTTTAAGGAATATTGGGAACAAAGAAAGTTTAAGCGCCATTGATCTGATAGTAGACGAAGTAGGTGACAGTAAAAAAAGATGAATCAAGCATCGTTGATTATATTCTTGAAGAGATAGAGACCTCGATTTCTGACTCACCGTCAGCCAGCAAACAAAAGAAATGTTCATGACACATGCTTCTATTCTATTATTACCACTCTATACCTCGGATATAGTAAAATAACTGTAGGGACAACCAGCCAGAATAAAATCAAATACATGTTCATGATCATTGATGTAGGGAAAAAAATATACTGATTAAATGTTCCATCGTATTTCTATACTTAAATAGTATATCCATAGTTTAGAAGATATAAATTTTGCACAATTAATTTGACAACATTTTAATTTTGATTAAGCCCTGAAAAGTGAGATATTGTCAAAAAAATGCAAATCTGTTTCACGGTTGTCAAAAAAATGCAAATTTGTTTCACAGTTGTCAAAAAAATGCAAATTGTTTCACAGTTGTCAAAAAAATGCAAATTGTTTCACAGTTGTCAAAAAAATGCAAATTTGTTTCGCAATTTTTTTGACAACATTGTAATCTACATGTATAAGCTTATGTAACCAAATTTCTATTTCCACTGACCAGGGATAATTCTCTTTAGATACAAGTAAATCAGATATCTATATATATATATATACATGTACCTGTTAATTCAATGTTGAATGTACGTCTTCCATAGTACAAACATCAGATAATCGTTTCACTAACCATAATACATATACAGGGTGACCAAAAAAAACTAAAACAGAACCCACAAAATGAAATGAAATGGGGTTTTATGTCCTTCTGTTATACTCCAACTGGGCTAATGAAGACAGACACATATGTCATACAGTGTGCTATGAAGGAAAATTTGCCCATACAGTGGCGTTACGGCCTAATCTTTGAATAAAACTGTTAATTTTAATTTTTTCTTCTTTTCTTTTTAGGGTATACAATGTACAAGTCGACTTTGTGCATGAAATATTGGAACAATAGCCTTCCCCAACATGTCTTGGTCAACCAAGGAAAAGACATTTCTTGAAATTTGCAGGACTTTTGTAGGATTTAATAACATTTTTATGGGTTCTGTTTTTTTTGGGGTCACCCTGTACCTTCTGTACATGTATATTAACTGATTTGATATGTATCCAATATAACTGTTTAATTAAATAATTAAGATTAATCATCTCTTCCTTTCTGATACTAGTGTATGATTTATGATTGTACTTTTCATTTATGTAAATAATTTCATACCACTTATTTTTCAGATCCTATAAGCTCCGGCTTGTTTTCAGATGCTTTAATTATATCTTTATAATATGTAAATTAATTAAATTAATAGTGTTAGAAAAAAACAAGCGGCTGCCATGCAAGATAAACCCACATTTTGCAAGAGATGGACAGAGAACAAGCTACAAAACAAAGTGATTTTTCATACAATCAGGGGCTATAATCCAGAATGTTACAGTCCGACATGCAACAATATCAAAAGCAACCAAGACCTTTGGGATATAAACTTATTTTTTTAAGTTACATTAAAATCAGATAAAATTACGACCTCTAGAGGGTTCACAAGCTAAAAATGTGATTTTTCGTACCACCAGGGGCCATTATACATAAAATTACGGTCTAATTTACGCGAATATAGAAAGAAACCAAGATCTTTGGAAGATAACCCTATATTTCAAGTTTCGTCAAAAAAACAGATAAAAATTGTGGATGGACAGACATCCCAAAGGACATGGGCGATGACAATATATATACATCCAGATGAAAATATGGGCGTACAAAGTTCAACGTACATATTAAGTCCAGTAACTTATGTCCATACAAGGTGCTGCATAATGGAGCGAATAATAATGGGCGATGACAATATATATACATCCACATGAAAATGGGCATACAAAATTCAACGTACACATTAAGTCCAGTAACTTATGCCCATACAAGGTGCTGCATAATTCGGCAAATAATAATCAGTTGTCAAATTAAAATGTATAATAACAGACAGCTGTATGGATAACATTCACTAGGTTTATTAACTGCAACATTTTAATGAGGGTACTGTCACCGTTATCATGCAATGATACAATCTAACATGTTACAGAAGGCTTTATACAAACGGTTAACAACAAACTAATTAACAGACCAAAGCCATTCAAAGACAACTAAAGTGTGATTCCGTTTTTGTTGACAGTAATGGCAAAAAATTTTCAACAGAGAGAGAGAGAGAGAGAGTTTAACGTCCACTTGACACAAACTAGGTCATTTCGGGACTAACATATGGTTTAATTTTATTTCATTAATTCGCTTGCGTGTAGGGGTCTTTAGCAGTGGGAGGAAACCGGAGGACCCGGAGAAAACCCATGAGTTTGGACAGGCGACCCTACTCCTTGTCACACACAACCGGGGATTCGAAACCACACCAGTTGACTCAATGACAGACTTTATGATACAGCGTGCACACGCTAACCATTCAGCCATCCACCACCCCACCCATTTTTTCAACATCATCTGCCCCTAATATTGGTGCCATAATAGATAAGAATATGAATATGGAATGTCTGGTTAATAATCTTCATAAAACATTGTTATTGAACATTAGAAAGATAAGTAAAGTTAGGACGTTGATAAATTTAGATACTACTAAGACAGATGTTAATGCTTTAATCTTTAATCACATCGTGTTTAGATAATTTTAACTATTTATTAGCTGGCTTGCCTCTTAAACTGATTACAGAACCAAGCAGCACAATCTATAACCCACACTTGAAAATTGTTTTTAAAGATTGGTTACAAGTTTAACGATTTTACTACTGACTTGTAGTTGTATAAACTATACAACTCTATCTTATATGCATGTAAGAGAGAGAGAGAGAGAGAGAGAGAGAGAGAGAGAGAGAGAGATGGGATTTATTGTCCAGTTGACACAAAATGGGTCATTTCAGGACTAACATATGATTCAATTTTATTTCAATAATTTGCATGCGCATAGGGGTCTACATCAGTGGGAAGAAACTGGAGGGCCCAAAGAAAATCCACTAGCGTTTTCCACATAGATTGAACAAATTTCAGCTTCATAACTTAAAGGGCTATAATATCAGAGGGGCACACCATCAATCACCCCTCGTTCTATTATGGAACTTCAGTTTTTGCTATTTGATAAATTGCCCAAGTTGGCAAAAGTGCCGCTGTCCAGGCAAAATTTCTCTGACAGCACATTGCATGGCATTCAACCCCAATTCATTTTATTTAATAAGCACAATTAGACATCCCTTTTCTTTTAAATCAAAAGGACAGGACTGGATCCAAAGTTATTACATAAATAAGATAAACCGATTATAATCGTAATGATTGCTCCATCAATGAAAATATTAAACATATATTATGCAAGAGCTAAATATGTATACTGCAAGTCTTCCGTAAGGCCTGAAATGTTATGTAAACTATTTATTTATTCAATATATTTCAGTCTGATAAAAATACAGATCTATATTTCGTTTCTGTTTTTTTATACTTTCGATGGTTTACACTACATGAAGACCTGACCAGTTGAAGCGATGGGTCGTGTCAGAGGTCACACGAGTGGCTTTTGACCCTATGATGTCAGACATTTGATTAAAAATCAGCATTGATGTTACTAGTGGATTACCCACAGTTCCGTGCAAAACACGCTTAAAGCTTGCCGTAACGGACCATTTTATTGGCTAATCCCTCACATCATTCAGAACACGTCAATGATAACAACTCTTAAAGATCCTAGTGTAGTAAAGACAAGTAAAACGAAATTTTGAACTATAAAAACGAAACGAAATAGGATCTGTGTTTTAATCAGATTGAATATAAAAAATTTCTTACCTGTATCTAATTTATACATATCATCAAGGGCGCCATCTTTGTTCATTCCACCAAAAATATACAGGTTTGTTCCATGTACAACACCACCATGAGCTGCACGGGAAGATGGACTAGTCTTCTTCTTTTTTATACTCGTCCAACTTTCTTTGGCCAAATCCAGGACGTGAAGATCATCATAAAATGTTGCGTTCACCATTCCACCGTGAACGTAGATTTTGTTCCCTAGTGACAGCATCACATGACCATGTCTAGGTTTTGGTGGATCTCCTTTAATTGACGGTTGTGACCAGGTGGAAGTTGAAACATCAAAAACATGAACTTTGCGATCTCCAACAGGATCAGCACCACTGTGGCCACCACTGTATACCACCATTTTATTTCCGACCACAGCAGTGGTATGATGTGTGCGAGGAGAGGGAGGGGTGCCCTGAACAGTCAAATTTGACCAATTGTTTGTTGTAATGTCTAACACTTGAATATCATTCAGATTCCCTGTCTGGTCTGCTCCTCCAAATATGTAAATCTTATTAGGATGGATTTCTGGTACGAAGGCTACATGTTCATAACGTGATTTAAATCCTGGCGTATCCATGGTGTCCCATCGTAAGTTTTCGAGGTCAAGGACATAAACGTCTCCAAAAGATCCACTAGGATTCGCTCCACCAATAACGTAGACTCTTCCCTTCGAACTCTCATCTGGACCCTTGATGTAGGTGCATGTGTGACCAACACGCATTGTCGGAGAATCTCCAAGGGCAGATAACACATACCATAATCCTGAATTTGGCTGAGTATCTTTTTCTAGGATAGGATGAAGCTCCATTTTATTGCTTTGAGCTTGTATCTTAGCCTGCTGAGGTTACTTTTTGAGATTTCTGCTACAAATTTTGATCTTTTGGCTCAAGTGAAAAGCTGGCTTCTAATCTGATTTTGATTGGATGACTATGCTTACAGTTTAATTGGGTATATAGTTAATTAGCACTTATATTATCAAGTCTTGACGACTGGGATTAGTATTATGTAAATTGTGTCGGCTTAGCCAATCGCTAATCCTAAAATAAATGCAAAGAGACAGATATGTAATTGCAAATCAAGCTCTTTAAACAAAACAATAAACGGATACAAATTAATTACAAATTAAGCTCTTAAAACAAAACAATAGATAAAGGAAAAAATTAAATTTAAAATACAAATGATATTATAAGTTATTATAGCTCAATAACAAAAATATATCTCTTAAATTTAAAATGTAGTATTAATAATTCACAAAATAGTTAAACTGATTGATAAAAACTTGAAATATCACAAGACAATTAGATCTAAATCATATGTAAATAAAGGCTAAATATCTCTAAAGTAATTAATTAAAATGTGTGATATTAATTTATTAATTAATTATCTACATGTAAATGCCTAGGTTATGCTATTGTCACATTAAACTACAAATCCTACTTTCTACTCTACTGACGTCTGTTTTCGACACCTGACGACTTTTGCTTTTCGCTCTGACGTCTACATTGACAGGATGGTCGTATTCATAGCTAGACGGCGGAAGCGCAGTTGCTCCGTAATTTGAATCGGATGTATGTCCATAAACTTGTACATCGTTGTATGGTTTGTAATGTCCTGGTTGTCCATGTTTGGAATATAAATCTTTCTTTTTCTGTTGTTGTTGAAATATGACTAGTGCCACGTCTTCGTACCGTCTGTAAATGTACACATTTTCGGTGTGTTTCGGAGATCTGCTCATATGGAAGGATGATGATGTCACGACTTGTACCTCTCTAATTACACATTCTCGTTAACTTCAATCTATCTAAAAATATAAAACAACAATAAATTTATTTTTTTTAAATTTTGCAAAGAGTTGCCGATCAAATTAAAGTGACCAATATGATGATGTCATGACTTGTACATCTAAAAATATAAACCAATAATAAGTGGAACACCCAACAGAAAATGATAGTAATAATCAAGTCAGGAAAGGATCAAGGCACGAACTAATGAATAAGCAGCTTCATATCTGAGTCTTTGATCATTATGGATTGCTCATGTACAATGTACGTTAACTTTGACCACAGATGTTTAGTGTCTATTAAAACCACCTTAGTCTTGTCATCATTAAGTTTCAGCATGTGGTCATGACTTTATTGACTTGGTACATGCAGTTATTTTTTCGAATTTCTGATAAGATGTCAATGGCTCAAACCTTCCAATTATCTGAGTGTCATCTGCATATGCGTGATGATCTAGTGAATGATGTTAGATACAAATTCAGTATAGAGAACAAACAACACTGGTCCCAATACAGTGCCTCGTGGCACACCATGTTTAAGTGATTAATAAGTTGCTTATTTACGGCTCTCTCAATTATTTTGGAGATGAAAGGAAGGTTCGAGACTGGTGAATAATTCTTCAAAATGTTAGGCTTAAGGTTATCTTTCTTCAATAAGGGGGGGTATTACAGGTGTCTTGTACAATACTCGTAGGTTTGGATGACAGAAATATTTTGTCATTCTAGTTATATTAGCATTTACAAAACTTCTGGGTTTTTTCCTGGAGAAATGGTCTTTCATTGAAAAGTATTGAACATAGAGATATTTTAAACCAGGAAAAAAACATAATACATTGTACACTCATATCATATACATGGATATGATTGCTCATATTAGTGTGATGTATAGTGTTTATGTAAATATGAAATGAAATTAAGTTCAACGTCCTACTTTTCTGTACCGACTGGGCTAATTAAAACAGAGAGAGAGAGAAATGGGGTTTATTGTCCACTCGACACAAACAAGGTAATTTCGGGACTAACATATTGTTTAGTTTTATTTCAATAATTCGCTTGTGCGTAGAGGTCTTTAGTAGTGGGAGGAAACCGGAGGACCCGGAGAAAACCCACATGGTTGGACAGGCGACCCTACTCCTTGCACGTACATCCGGGGATTCGAAACCACGCCAGCTGACACAATGACAGGCTTTATGATACAGCGCGCACTTGCTTAACCATTTGGCCATCTACCCCTTAATTAAGACAGACTTGACATGTACATTCTAATTATACAGTGTGCTATGGGGGGATCACGTGGCTAAGTGGGTAAGGCGCTGGCTCGCTAGCCTGGAGGTCGGGTGTTCGATCCCTGCATTGGCCGAGAAAGTTCATCTCGATTTTCCGGCGTGGTTTCCCCTTGTCACTGATGCAGAACGGAGGGCCTGACAAGGACAGCTGCCTAGTCGTTCGGATGGGACGAAAAACCGAGGTCGCGTGTACACATTGGCGTGCACGTAAAAGATCCCTTGGCAGTTGGAATTCGATATAAGAGTAGGCCGTAGCGCCGCTGCCCGGGCAAAATTTCCCTCATAGCACACTGTATGGCGTATGCCCGTCTTCAATTAGCCCAGGTTAGGTGCAGAAGAGTAGGACGTTAAACCCCATTTCATTTCATTTCATTTCAGTGTGCTATGGGATAAAATTTGCACAAAAAGTGGCACTACCACCTACTCTTATTTCAAATTCCAACTGTCAAGGGATCTTTTACATTTAAGCCAATGTGCACACAGGACCCCAGTTTTTCGACATTGACCTTTCCAGGTCCTCCGTCCTCCATCACTGACAAGGGGAAACCTGAGGAATTTCTCCAGCCAACACCGGGAGCAAACACAAGACCTTCTGATTACCAAGCCAGTGGTCTTACTCACTAAGCCACCACGACCCCCTATGTAAATAGGATTCAGACTTCTGATTATTAAAGATTAGCTAGTATCAATTCAATGACGATCAAATCACAGGAAATCTTCAGATATTATGTACCGGTATACCTTATTTGGAAAGGAAAGTAACAAAGTTTGCATTGGTCATTCTGCATTGTTCCCCACATTTTTCTTGAATAAATCTGAACTAAATATGGATTTTTCATTGACCATTTATAGACATGACAAAAGCCCTAACATTGTAATGATCAAAAGAATTGTTATGTGTCAGCATAGAAATCAACAATAGACAGGAACTTTAAAAACCCTGACACATTTTAAAACTTGTCAGATATTTGTATACAGTGACTTTGTTATGTCATCAAATACAATGACACAAAATTTATCCGAAAATGTTGTTTTAAAGAGGCAATTGCACTTTCAATAAATGTAATTAATTTCAAACTAAATAATAATTAAAATAACTTTGAGCTTAGATGTAGTGTAGCTAATTATCCAAAATTTCGAAGTTAAAGAAACAATCTAATCTGATAAATATAGGTTGCCAGATTTTTCAATGTGATCAAGGGACATAACTCTGGCAAGTTAAATCAATAGGCTTCATCGTTGCGTGTACTTAAACTGAATTGGATAGAGCTTGAGCCTCTAAAAACGTCCACAGACAGATGGGGAGAATTAATCAATCGACAGGGGTGACCACAATACATTTTAATGAGGTTTTATGAAAACACACATGCTTATTTCCATATGATATTTTTAAAAAACAATTATATCTACACGGTCAAGGTACATGTAGGTGAAACCTCACCAATTTTGTTTAGACATAAAAATGAGCCACATTTATTCTGCAGTTAGTGCAGTATGTCCACAGATTGTGTCAATATTGAGATACATATATAACCTGTATTTGTGGAGTTTAACTTTTTACAGTTTAGGCCAAAAACGAAACTAAAATTAGTGAACAATTCAACTTCAGAACAAAACATAAATCTAATTGTAGGCCCCTAGATCTTGTCATATTACTTATCAAAATCACTAATCTGTGCTAACCAAATTCTAGAATTAATTTATACTTTCATTTTTAATATTATTTTGTCTATAACACATGACACAATTATATGGAATACAAGTCACTTAAAGTTTATTTCTGGAGATGTTTATTATATTGACAACAAAAGTAATGTAGCAACAGCCATATATCTCACACTATTGAACACACTGATCAACTGTGAATATTTGCTATGCCGCTAATATCACTGAGAGGGATGACATTAGTATAAAAGTGATAAATTTATGAACTGTTTCTATTTTATTCTTTCAATAATTCCTTTGTTCATTTTTCATTCATTCAATTAAATGTTTCTATTATTCTTACATTTCTGTTAATCCCTCATTTTAATTAGACCTTGAGCTACTAATATATTGACAGACGGTTGACAGCGGACACATTAATGAGTTTAAATACTACCTTATTGTTTTATGTTATTGCAATGTCTTTTATATTTTAATCTTTCCTCTTTAATTGTTATTAGTATAGCTGGGGTATATTGTTAATTCCTTAGATACTATTTTATTATAAATACCGATTTGTACATTTAAATGGGGTTCTAGGTTTCATCCCGTTTCCAGGACAGTTACTCTGCTTGTCAGACGTGCTGTTCTCCATATATGATGTTAAATGTTTTCCGGTAATAAATAGTCTCAAGGATAGTCCCAGTCTTTAGTTTTATTGAAGATTTACACTGCAAAATTAGTACCATTTAATGAGCTCGCAAGATTAACCTTTTTCCTTTTGTAAATCAAATTCTAGAACATTTTTTGGAGGCACTAGAAAAATAATCAACGTTATGTGATGTGACATCACATGTAGAATGCGTATGACCTTTATGAAGGTCAAACATCTTATACAGAGTTATAAAAGGAAGGAATTCGCAATACCTGTATGAAACAGATTAACTAATGAAGTGCAACTAAAAATGAAATTGAAAGTAGAATAAAATCCTGTTTTGATGATATTTCTCATAAACAGTGATTGAAAGTTGAGAAAATTCTTAAGTCTAAGAATGCCTTTGTGAACTTGGGCCTTGGGGCCAGATTGTAAATTTTACTGTTTAATTGTATCTGATTGTTATTTCTGTTGCATACATGTATTCTGTGTATATCTGTCTACTACATGTATTCACATATTTGTATCATTTGCTTGATAAAGATAAGAATATCCTCATCAAAACGTGCATAGTATTAAACTCAGCAATTGTAGTGTATCCATAAACTTGAACCTTATGTTAATATGTTCAATGACTAAATGCCTATCAAAGAAGTTACATGTACTATGTAATGGATTATTTTTTAATTTGATATTAAAGCCAGCTTGATTCATCTTTTAAAATAACCAACTTTCTTTTCCTTTTTTTATTCAAACTAAAATGTTTTAAGTATGTGGCCTTTTTATTGGCTGATGTTCTTGGTTTAGGGTTAAAATCTTATTATGAATTATAGATTTTAACCCAAAAAAATACTGCATTCTAAAAAAAATAAGGCCTCTGGTCTTTTAAAAGTTAATTTGTACTAATCATACCTAATTAAATAGGTTACTTTTGTATAAGTTTGTCAAGTTATGTTCACCTCTCACCAATCAATCTGACCTAGCTGTCAATCAAATGTATCAATCATCCTGTCAGTTTAACACATGACCTGGTTTCAATACGTCGCTGACATGATCACCACCCAGATATAAAATCAAGCACCAGGTGAGATAAATAATATAACTTCATTCAGTTTTATTTTTGATCAAGTTTTTCTTTCGATAAAAGATTCACTATTATTCATTACAGTTATATATATGGAAGAACAATTTAAATACTGATTTAGTTTATTGCTCAATCCAGTTACTAAATGCCTCTAAAGAGAGGGAGAAAAATGGGATTTAATGTCCACTCAACACAAACTAGGTCATTTCGGTCATGGTTCAATTTTATTTCAATAATTCGCTTGCGCGTAAGGATCTTGAGCAGTGGCAGGAAACCAGAGGACCTGGAGAAAACCCAAAGGGTTGGACAGGCGACCCTATTCCTTGTCACGTACAAGCGGGGAATCGAAACC